TCACACACACACACACACACACACACATATATATATATATATATATATATAGATCCCAGGGTGCATTTTTTTGTATTTTTGAGCTGTTTAAATTTGTAACTTGTGGTAGATTTTATTTTGTTGAACTATTAATATTGTATACAGAATCTGAATCTCACTCTGAGTTAGTGTTGTTCTTTACAAACTAAATAAATGAGAGATAATTTTTCTTTAGTTTTTACTGAATATTTGAAGGCAAACTGGTTGACATATAAAACTATATCACTATATCACTTATTCTATTTTCTTAAATTAATAATAAATTTTTTCCCTAATATGTCATATCATCAAGAATATCGTTATCACAAAAATACCTTTAGATATTGTGATATTCTTTCAGGGCCATATCGCCCACCCCTACAGCTGATTAAAAATCCCTACATTTTAATGCTGTATGATGCTAAACAGTTTAAATGGATCTCATTTCTGATCAAAGTGTCAGAGTTGGCAACATGACCTTCATTAGCGTCATTAGCCCTTTTTACACAGCCCTCTTTAAAGTGGAAATTTCATGCCATTATGCCGCCTCGCCATGCGGTATAATCGTGGAGTGGGGGGGCAGAGTTGTCTCACCTTTAAGCTGGCATTGGAGGTATTCACAGCACCGAAACGATATCTGTATTAACAGGACAGCTGGCAGGGATGGGATCATGGGTGGCATGGATGTGAGTTTTGACAACTATCATGCATGCATGCAACCTATCATAGGAGACTTACAAAGTTTGTAGTAACAGTTAGCAGCTAACTCAAAGAACAGCGGCCGAAAATGTCCACAAATTGGGAAAACAATGAGGTCAGGGAGCTCCTTACCCTCTAAGGAGCAGACGTGATCAGCCACCATAAAACAGTGGATGGTTAATTATTCTTATTGCCATGTTATGTAATAGAGTGTGCCAGTAAACCCGGAACTCCGTTAGCGCTTTTAGCACTTCCGGTTCTCTCGTCTAAAAGTCAATACGTTTTTTGAATGGGATTTTGGTAAAATGCCTCAAATAAGGTCTGTGGTTAACAAAAGCTTAAGCAAGTTTCAGGTTTTGTTCTGCAACATAAAACACGTCAGTAAATACCCTACTTGTGAATTTTGAAGCTTTTACGTGTCGTAAAAAAGGCAGTTGCTAACAAGTTGCTCAATATGACTACAAACCCTGTCGGGGACATTAAACGTCTTCATCCCCGAACAGGCGAGAGTGCTGGCAGTCCGCCATTACAGCTTCTTATTTAGCTTAAACAGTCCAATTTCTCCATTATACAATGTTTTTAAAATAAAGCGGCCGAAATAAGCTGAAAGCTTTGTGGCGGTGACGTCAAGAGCCATGCGACCGTAGAGTAGTCACGTAGTTCGTTAAAGCCTAACGTTAGCTTTTTACTTCTGGCGATCGCATTTTAGCTTCAAATGCGGTATGAAAGGTGTTCATATGTGAAGATTATCTCGCTGAACAAAACCTGTAAGTATGATAAACTTGTGTTAGCCACAGAGCTTATTTTCTGACATAATCCAAAACGCAATGCAAAAATCACATTCACTTTCTATTCCGGGAACCAGCGTGATGCTAAACTTCCGGGTTTTGACGTATACGTATACGTACGTATTGACATATGTTATATGTCACACTAGAGGCCGACACTGTTTGATTATATGCCACACCTGTCACGTCTCTTTGGATTCTGCGATGCCAGCATGCTGTCTAAAATCCCACTCTGGAGCAGCCTAATGCTGCTGTTGTTTGCTTCTGTGTAAAATTACAAAGGTGGCATGAAGAGGGACTTCTTACAGTGCTATCTCTGTATAAAAAGGACTACTGTCTCTGTTCACCAACACTACTGTATTACAGAATTTTTTTTCTCTTCAATTTTTTGATTTTCATCCACTTCAACAGATGGAACTTCTGTTTCTGTTTCTCTTTGTTTCTTCATCTCCTGCTCTGGATAAAATGGCGTCTCCAGGATAGCTTTGTTTTTCTCTGATGTCTGCAGACCTTTGCTCAGTGAGTCATGAATCTTCTGCCATGAGTCCAACTCTGAGCTCCAAAGAGCAGCTCTGGCTCTGATGAACTGTGAGACTTCGGTCTCACTGCCTTTGGCCAGACTGATACTGTCTTTACAGATAAAGAAGATATCCATGCCAACAAAGAGAGCATTGAGCCCAATGAGACCAGCCCTGGCTGACTTGGAGAGGGCAAGAGGCCCTTTGACAGCTGCCTGTCCAATATCTGGGAGATCTGCTGCCACCCTGGGCACATTACGTAATGCTTTTCCTTCCTGCACTGCCACTCTGCCAGCACTTGTCACCAGCTCTTCACTTTTTAACAGCTTAAGGGCTGAGGCAGCATCAACAAGTGAATCAATACCTTTTCCAATAGCACCAGCTTTACAAAGCATCTTGCCAACTCCCAGAACCACATCTATCTGGCTTGTTTGGCTTTGGGTGACCTCTAGACAACCCTGGAGACTCTGCACATCCTCCATGAACCTCTGGAAAACTTCACTGGCTTTCTTTTGATGTTTGCTGTTAACTCCAATCTCTGCAGCAGTGGTTACAGCACTGTTGACTCCACTGGTTATTCCCAGCCCTACCCCCGTCATTGTCAGATTTAGAGACACTCCAGCTGTTACAGGAATTAATGCCAAACCAATGATGGAAAGCACACCTCCAACTGCCCCCACTGAGCTGCCTACCACACTGGAGATCTTTGCCCCCTTATTCATTCTGTCCAGCTGAACAGCATTCTCCTCCAGGTCTTTAAGAAACTGTAGCATTCTGGGCTGTCGCTCGTTGAACTCATCAATGAAGCCAGAACATGGCTCATCCTGAAACAAGAACACCATCCGGAAGTTCTGGTTCATCCTGATGAAGATAAAAGAGGAAATTAAGACAGACCAAATCCGATGAAACATGTCAAAAGGTTAGTATGTTTAAAATTCAATATGACATTATTAAATGGCAACTACAATGCCTCTGCAAACCAGTCAAGCTGCAGTTACAGTTTACATCCATGTCTGGATGCCTTACACGCATCTCCCAGGTAGCACAGAAGATCTATACAACCACCACAGTTGCAGAGAGGGCACCCAAGATTAGTGTCATGAATTCAGTATCTGACCAGTGTCTTCCCTTCTTTTGCTGATTTGTGTTATCGAGGAATGGCCAGAAGTGTTTCTGCAGAACATTATGACTTCACTGTTGTTGACCTTTGATCTTTTGGATGTAAAATCTTGTTACTTCATCATTTTTTCCGATTAGACATTTGTGTGAAAGTCTTTCATAATTACCGTAAGAATTCTTGAGTTACGGACAAAAACATGCTTCCTGAGGTCACAGTGACCTTGACCTTTGACATTCAACCCCAAAATTCAATCAGTTAATTTTCAAGTCCAAGTGGACATTTGTGCCAAATTCAAAGAAATTCATTAGAGGCCTTCTTGAGATATCACATTCATGAAAATGAGACGGATGCAAGTTCACAGTGGCCTTTGACCTTCAACCACCAAAATTCAATCAGTTAATTTTAAGTCCAAGTAGACATTTGTACCAAATCTGAAGAAATTCCCTCAAGGCTTTCTTGAGATATCATGCTCACGAGAATGGGATGGACGAACGTGCAGACAGATGTATGTACTGACATAAAGACATACAGCCATACAGGCAGACAATCAGACAACCCAAAACACAATGCTTCCGGTCAAGAGGTACCGAGGTATTACCTCATGTTGGACAAGAACCATAACCCAAGTATCCATTCATTTCTGAATGGATCCTTGAGGTGCCATATTCATTATCAGAGTGATAGAGTTACTTAAAGAAATCATGGAAAACCTGGTTTACATAATTTGAGTTATGAGATACAATAATTTTGCCTCTAATTTCCTGTAGTTGCAGTAAATATAAACAAGACTCTACAGCCATGCTAGGCGCTTCGTGAGACTGTACTTAGGCACAGTGGTTCTTTGAGCTATATGCTCATATCTATCCTAGCATACTCACAATGACAACGCTAACATGCTGATGTTTAGTAGGTATGCTGCTTACCCTGGTCATCACCTTAGTTTAGCGTGTTAGCATCAAGTGGCAACCTCTGGGGCTAAAAGATTAAGCAAAGATACCTAAAGCTGCAGTTCCTTGAATGGCCACTTGATGCTGGCTCTAAACACAAGTCAGTCCCCACAGAACCCCATGTTAAAAAGTCCAACTTCACGGCAGCAATAAACATGTTCACAGCCTAGTACAATAAAACAGCTTTAGTTGCTGATTCAAAAAATCTAACAAACCAGTCGCTGATCACATCATTAAATTGATTAATTTTAACCTGACAGTGACGTTAGAGGAAAAGTCAGAGGATCACCAAAATCTTTGGGATTCATCATCTGAGAACCATAAATTTTGTGCCAATTCATCTTGTAGATGATCATCTTGTAGATGAATTGGCATAATGTAGATATTTCACAGGTTGTGCCTTATTTGACGAAAAATAATTACCTTACGTTTTTAGTATGAAAATCCAACTTCAGGAAAATCCAACCCTGTCCTCTGTGTTTCTTTGGCGTGCTTGCGGCAAAGGCTGCAGCTCATCGTGTTGGTGTGCGGGTCGTAGGTCAGCCATGACCGCGGCTGGCCAGCCTCATCAAGTTTCCGTTTTTCAAGGGTTAGGGTTAACGGCAGAAATGCCTTGCTCAGAAGTTACCAGTGAACCACCACCCCCCCACCCCCAGGGGGGATCAAAATAAAATAAATAAATAAAATAAAAATCAACCAGCCACCCTCCTCCCCTGACAAGTAAAGAACAGTCCCTCCATAAGTAAAAAACAGTCCCTAAAGTGCGCTGAGGTTTGTGGGCCTTTACCTGCCACAAAGAGAGAAATGTGAACGGCTCGTTTCTCCTCTGACACGCCTCATACCTGTGTGCTGCCACGGCTCGGTTGTCCAGGTACTACTGGGCAGTCATGACACCAACGAAAGAGGAAATTACTGGACCTGGAGTCGGACTTATCTGTCAACGGTAAGCTGTTATCTTGCGCCGCAGAGCACTATGAGCCTCTGCCGTAATCCTGTCTGTGACCCCCGTTCAACCCACAACCGGTAGGATTTGCCTTTCCTTTCTGCTGCTGGTTGAAACGTGATAATAGGTTCCACTAACTTGACGTGGAAATGAGTGGTAGTCTAGAAAACTTGCGAGTTTTTTTTGTTTGTTTGTTTTTCTTGCCCTGAGCAGTCGCCCACATTGCCCATAGCAAAAACCGTCCCTGGACACAGCCGGCAGAAATGGTCGAAGAGCACATAAAAAACCCACATGCAAATCAAAATTTTCCATCGGCCACTGGCAGGTGTGTGTTTTTGTTTTACACGCCAAACTTTCACCCAAGTTCAGTGTAAACCCATCCGCATCATCATTAAACGTTCAGTGCAATGGATGTAATATAAAGATCATAAAAGTCAGGTGGGAGGGAAGGTGGATGGGTCCACAAGCATAAGACTTTGACCTAGGAGGCCAGTGTTGTGGCCTGTGTGCAACAAAAAAGTCAATTTTGAGTTCTTTTGTCACATCATCCACAATCTTCTCCTAACCTCAACCAAGTACAATGTAGTTTTGTTGCCCGAACCTATCCACCGACCCCTTCACGTGACTTATCCTTGACCTGTCTGCGTCAAAATAAAACACAAAAGGCTGCCCTGGCATATATATATATAATAACGCTTCTGTCCCAGCATCAAAATATGATGAATAGGGATGAGATCACGTTGGATATCTGTATCAAATTTTATGGAAATCCATCAAATAGTTGTTGAGATATTCTGAAAGACCATCAAACCTTCATGCAGAATAGGAACATAAACTGTGTGCCTCTATGTTTTGGAGCATGCATCAAAATGTCCTGTTGATGACCATTAAATTTCTGTCACTCATCAAACCTAGCATGTCTGTGTTGACATATTTGGGGACAAAAAGTACATCCAGGGGTAAAGCCTACCTGATTTCATTAAGCTGATTAATGTGATCAAGCATCCTTTGTATGTCCTCTTCAGACAAATCCCCATTGAGGTCTACCAGGGTGTCTGTGTTCTTCAGGAAAAACTCACAGAGGGAGCTGTGACACACATAATTACACTGAATAAAACAGATGGCTTTTTTAGTATTCTACATATTATTTTGAGGAAATGTCAGTTTACCTTTTCTCTAACTTCTCACAGATTGTCTTGGTGGTCTGAATGTATCTGTCCAGCTGATATGACAGCACTTCCACATTCTGCAGTTTGGGAAGGAAGAAGACACTTGCATCTCTTTTAAACTCGAGGAGGAGAGGGCAGATTAGCCGTGCAGCAATGATGACAACCTGAACATGTTCAGGGCTGATCCCTTCTGGCAGATGTAGCACCTGGTTCTCCTCCATGAACACATGAAGTGAGGTGGCCGCCAGTTTCTCCACTGCATCCAGGAAGCAGTTGAGCTCCTCCAGACCTCCCAGAGTGGCCTTAAGTACTTCAGCCAGCTCTGTCTCCAGCTTTGCACGCCTGCTGTCTGCAGTCACCTGGGTTACCTTGCTCTTCATATATTCCAACATAGCCTTACCTCTGTTCTGTGACTGCTTAACATGGCCAATGCTTAGGTCGATCTGATCAGCTCTGTCTTTGATATCCATCATCATGTGCAACTCTGTCTCCCTCCCCAGCATCCATTTCGGGTTCCTCTCACAGAATCCTCTCACTGTGTCGATGTAGGTGAGGGTATCTGCAGTGTAGCAGCACAAGGCCTCCTCAAGTTCCTTCCTGTAACACAAGTTTGTGAGATTTAAAAACAAAGTCAAACTGAACTGTTGTTGTGGGGTTAGGCTCAATTCTTCGTCCCTACCACTTAACCCTTAACCCTCCGTTTTGCGCATTCACACCTAGAGGTAGTGTGTCCCAATTCTTGGTGGGAGGTACGGCAAAGTGTAAGGGCTACATGGCTTTCCAAACTGAGGAATTCCAGAGGCATACTCTAAACTGACTGTTATAAAAAATATACGTAAGAGGGCCGCACAAGCAGCAAAAAGAACCCACAAATAGGTCTATGTCTGTCATTGCAGGTCCGAATATATCTCCACCCTTCTGTCACTGTTCTTTGAGAGTGCAGGAAAAATATATGGCAGCAACCACTCCACAATAGCTGATAATAAAAAATGATCAAAGGCCCCTGACCCCTTGGGCTCCTGGGCCAGAGTGTCTGTTTGAAATGACTGTTAGCGTTTCTTGGTGGAAAGTCACAGAGCTCAGTTAAATGTTGGGATATCCATAATGTGTGTTTATGTTTTACCCCTAAACCTTAACAAAGTCTCTTAATATCTTAGTAAAGCCCAATAACATTAGTAAAGCAGTTAAAAACAGCAGAATAGTGTCGCAAAATGACTACAAAGGGATGCAAAGACACATAAAACAACTGCAAACTCCAAATGCTGTATTTAAGATAAACTCATTATTATAGATACCACATTTATATCTAGAACAAGCACCTTGCAGTTGAATGCCACAGTCAAGTTGCAGTTACAGTTTACATCCATGTCTGCGAAAACATAGATGCTTCACACACATCTTTATCCGACAGCACAGAAGATCTATAGAGTCAGAACAGTTTCATGATGGACTCCTAAGATTAGTGTCACCAGTTCAGTATCTGACCAAATGTCTCCCCTTCTGTTCCTGAGTTATGATGCTGAATAATGGCCAGGAAAGTGTTTTTGCATAACATTATGATGTCACAGTAAAGTTGACATTTGACCTTTTGGATATAAAACGGCATCATTTGAGTGATTTTTTTTTCATAATTGGTGTATGAATTCCTGAGTTATGGTCAAAAACATGTTTTATGAGGTCAGTGACCTTTGACCTTCGACCACCAAAATCTAATCATTTCATCGTTGAATCCAATTTGACGTTTCCGCCAAATTTGAGGAAATTCCCTCAATCATTCTTAAGATATTGTGTTCACAAGAATGGGACAGATGGACAGACCAACAACCCAAAAACATAATGGATCTGGCCACAGCTGTCACTGGCTTGAAGGCATAACAAATTATATATTATATTATTAAAATATCATGATATTACCACAAGGCCCACGATATATGAAAACATATATGATCTACATACATTAGTATTTCCCAAACCTGGGGTCAAGACCTCTTCCAAAATAAATCTGAGGGGTTGTGAGATGTCAGCAGGATATAACAGCATAAAAAGCATACTTATACTTTACAAAACACTCCAAAAATCTCTGCTTTTTTAATTTAATCTCTAATCTTTTACATAACTCACTACTGAATTAATAGCTAAATATCGAGATATAACACGACAAATGGTATACTGTATTTCATAATTGGTGGTTACAGTTTGTAACCAATTCATCAACAATTCAGTGTCATTGCAGTCACAAGATTTGCCCAGCAGATGTCGCCAAAGTGCACATGGTTTTTCAATGGGTATAATGACTTCAATGTTTTAGAAACTTCCTCTCAACAGTATTCTACATGTTGTAGAGGCACAATGATTTGCAGTAAAGTATATTTTAAACGGAAATGATTTTATAGTGATGATTAGTAAAAATGACTGGCCTGAAAAACCTCATTTGTGCCTTTGTAATATGCCGATTTATTTAATCGGCTACTAAAAGAACCCTGAGGGTTTCAACACTATTTCACATTTCCAACATGTTTAACAAGTAATTAATTGTGTTGCTTAAAATATGTTTATGTGTAGGCTTATGAGTTTCGGACAAAGACCTGTTTCCTGGTCGGTAGCCTACTTATTTCGCGTCATTTGACATGTTGTCGTTCCTTCGGGCTTTTCTCTCATTTTCTGTGCAGAAGTAGTTTAAAGATATAAACTATTTACCTTGCAGACATGCTTCTCCTCGTGGTTCTCTGTCTTGAGTTCCTTATCGAGGCCGCGTCTTATTATGCATGTGGTTAACATAAAAATAAAACAAGATTGGGAATCTGATGGTTCACCAACTCATGAGTTGACTGAATTTACTAAAATCACTGCTTGCTGAGGAACTTTGTTGACAGCACTTCGACGGGTGACGCCGATCGGTTTCGTTTTCCTTCCTCCACATCAGCTCTCACATATTTTCATACAAGGAAACAGTCAGCTTACTTTTGTTTATTCAGGAGGTGTGATAGCGGTAGGCAGCAGCACGCCACGCCTTCACTTATTCAAAACTTATTTCCTGATGCTGCCTTCAAATGCTGTCGGAAACATGAGCCTACACATTAATTCATGGTTAGACCCAAAGTGACTTACCTCTGTACAACACACCCAGTATTTAGCTCTTTTACCTCGACAGTGCCTCACTGTAAAAAATGTTTTATCACGAGCAAAAGTCCTGCGTTGAAACTTAATTTTTCAACAGCATTCTACACATACTGAGGGGACACTATGGAGACAATAATTTATAACATAGTGAATAGATTTTATGATGATAATTAATACAATGATTGACATAGCAAAAGCTAATAGGTGCCTATTTCTGTATTTGTTGCCTTTGTTCATAAGATATGAAGATGTATTTCATAGGCTACTAAAACAACCATGCACTGGGGGTTTCAAAATGTTTTACATCTTCATAACTTGGTACTTAATTGTGCTACGTAAGGTGTGTTTAAATATAGTGGAGTTATGGGAATTAACAGATCTGTTTCCTAATACTTTTTATTTTATTGACATTTTGTCATTACTTCAGGCTTTTCTCTCATTTTCTGTACAAAAGTAGCTCAAAGATTTACAGTTTTCACCTTGCAGCTGTCTTCAGTTCTTTATCTGAAACTCATCTTGCTATGTTTGTGGTTAAAATACTTTAAGGCTTGGTTACGAGACTAAGGTGCCTCGTACAAGTTAACAATATCAGAAAATAACCGGTTGTCAAACACACTAAAAAGGCAGTGCATGATCAAATAGAAAGTAACAAGTTTTTGTTTTTGCTTGTACATAAAATACACAGCCCAAATAACGAATTCAAGCTATCCACTTACAGTTATAGGCTACACACCTGTAAACTAACAATGATCTTAACACAAAGCCCAATGCAAAACAACAAAAGTTTACACATTGCATTCTTGTTTTACTTTCGCTTTCACATTCTTGTTAAATACAAAAGACAAAAAGAAGACACAGGCTTTTTAACCTACCTTTCCATGTCTCTACTCCTCAGTATAGGCTACTGTTACATTAGTTTCACTGCGTCACATTGAAGAGAAACTGCTACAAGCAGCCTGAGCTAAGATTTCTCTAAGTAGCTGTCGTTACACATCTGACCACACCCCTTTGCCACACATCAGAACAGAGCAGAACAGAAGCAGGCTAAAAATCTAAATGTTTCAAAGAGCTCTGCATTTAGCAGCAGAGCTCCAGTGGTGGAGAGTTACTGTAGGCCACTGGACTCAAGTACAATACTGAGGTACTTGTCTTTTAATAGGCCTATTTCCATTTTGTACCACTTTATACCTCTACTCAACATTTCAGAGAAGATTTTGGTACTTTTCACTTAACTAGCTAGCCTACATTTAGTTGACAACTTTGCAGATTCAGATTAATATAGAAAATGTAGACCTAATAAATAAACACATTGATGCATTATTATGTATAAAGGCTTTATTGATCCTTCAGTGAAACTGACAAGCTACCCAGCTGAATTAGGCCCACTTTAACCAGCTGCAACAATAAAGTGATGAACATATTAATGCATCAATAATTATAATTTCTGATATAATATATATTATTCTAAAATTAATCTCTCTGCATAAGTACTTTTTCTTTTGGCTCTTAAAGTATATTTTGAAGTTAATACTTTTGTACTTAGATCTTGAAAGCAGGACTTTTGCTTATAACAGTGTACTTCCACACTGTGGTTACTTCAGTAAAAGGTCAGAGTACTTCCTCCATCACTGTAGCTCAGCCGACAACAACCAGACAGCAGCAGAGTGGATTCACGACCACTTCTCTGAGTGAGTCCAGTGAAAACACCAGTCAAGGTTTTACATCTGCTAATATCAGCAATACACTGCATTACAGGAAACTATATTCTGCAATACTAACACCCTGACAACACAACATATTGAAAAAAGAGGAAGAAATAAGTAAGTACATAAAATAATGCAGGTTAAGTTAACAGGTGACTCTAAAAATGGCCGTAGGTGTGAATGTGAGTGTGAATGGTTGTCTGTCTCTATGTGTCAGCCCTGTGATAGTCTGGTGACCTGTCCAGGGTGTACCCTGCCTCTCGCCCAATGTCAGCTGGGATAGGCTCCAGCTCCCCTGCAACCCATAACAAGACAAACAGTTAGAGATATAACAATCAAAACTTAACAAGAGCAATCCCAGTCAAAATCACAGATGTTAAGTACCCATCATGACTGGTGTTGCACTTACTGTAAACTACTGTAATATTGCAATACCATCTCAAGTAAAGTGACACAGTGGTGTGTTTAGTTGCAGCAAAGTCAACAAATTACAGTATATGTCAAAGTAAAATGATGGAGTAACAGCACACACCAGAATAGTATATAATTACATAATAATTATAAACTATTGTCTGCATTAATATTGAAAACACCTATGTGGGCAAAGTATTTTTGTAATAATCTTAATTCATTATATAGCAATTTCACACACACACACACACACACACAGATGCAGATTGATGTATACATACAAATAATGCAGATCAAAATGTATTTTCCATAATTGTTTGTTCTAATTATCTATTTTTTTATGTGACAGTAAATTTGAGGCTGAAAAGTGAGCTTTAAGCTGATCTTAAAGGTCTTGTGTGCTGAATTCCCTCAGAAGCTCCAAATGACAGCTGGAAATATTACTCAAATGAAGAGCAGGAGGGCCATTTGGTCAGTAGGGGGAGTTGTTGCCTGTGCAGTTGCCACATGATTGTTTGGAGACTGTGTGCTTCCTCAGCTTCTGTAAGCAGTAAAAGAGTATGCACAATCTGTGTTTGTGAAGATTGTAAGTTATGTTCTGATTATTCTTCACTTCCATGATAAGTTAACCAAGTTTATTTCCTCTTTTTACAGTTATTGTATATTTACATGGTTATACCAACTGTTCCTTTGTAGTTTCTGTTGAATAATAGTCTTAGACCACATGGCTCATAAAGCTACTTTATATGTCTGGTAAATGAAGCAAGAATTCAGCTGTTATATCTGTATACTGTGGATGTGTTTGTGGTTAAATGAGGGTACAGATGTTTAAGATATTGTTCATGCCAACCATTCAGTATTTCTGTATTGCTGTTTATGTTTCAGACACCACACATGGTCAGTGCTACCACCGTGTTTGTATCATCACTCAAACTGCTTCATAAAGTTGCAGACTGCTTTTCTGCCTCCGCATCAACTCCTTCATAAGAGGTCCACTGTGGAGCCACAGTCGGTGTTCAAACCCTGTTTAAGCATCAATCAATTATATCTAGTGTGTAGGGTTTATGGGCATCTATTGGCAGAAATAGCATATAATATTCATAACTATGTTTCTATAAGTTTACAATCACCTGAAGCCGAAAACAATTGGGATTTCATTACATTGGAATAAGCCATATATATATCAATATATGGAGCGAGTCCTCTCCCACGTAGGTCCACCATGTGGCTCTACTGTAGCCAGAAATGGACAACCCAAACACTGGTTCTAGGTAGGGCCATTTGTGTTTTTGCATCGGCCACCATGGATCTCCGACATGTTTGGCACATGGGACAAGTTTTAGTTCTGTAACCTCACTGCCAGATGCTACTTAATTCTACACACTAAATGGATCTCCTACCTGGTTTTAGTGTCAGAGCTGGCAACAAGGCATATTGTGATTGCTGCCACCAACAATAATTGTCTCTATTCGCTGAGCACTACTGTATGAGACAGTTTTTTTTCTTCCATTTCTGGTTTTTCATCCACTTCAACAGATGGAACTTCAGTTTCTGTTTCTCTTTGTTTCTTCATCTTCCTCTCTGGATAAAATGGCGTCTCCAGGATAGCTTTGTTTTTCTCTGATGTCTGCAGACCTTTGCTCAGTGAGTCATGAATCTTCTGCCATGAGTCCATCTCAGAGCTCCAAAGAGCAGCTCTGGCTCTGATTAACTGCGAGATTTCAGTCTTGCTGCCTTTGGCCAGACTCATACTGTCTTTACAGATGAAGACAATATCCATGCCGAGGAAGAGAGCATTGAGCCCAATGAGACCAGCCCTGGCTGACTTGGAGAGGGCAAGAGGCCCTTTGACGGCTGCTTGTCCAATATCTGGGAGATCTGCTGCCACCCTGGGCACATTACGCAATGTTTCTCCTTCCTGTACTGCCACTCTGCCAGCACTTGTAATCACCTCGTCACCTTTTAACAAAGCAGAGGCAGCATCAGTAAATGAATCAATGCTTTTTCCAACAGTTCCAGCTTTAGTTACAATCTTGCCCACTCCCAGAACCACATCCACTTCACTTGCTTCCACTTTGGGAACCATTGAACTGAACAGACAATCCTGGAGACTCTGCACATCCTCCATGAACCTCTGGAAAACTTCACTGGCTTTCGTTTGATGTTTGCGATTTACTCCAATCTCTGCAGCAGTGGTTACAGCACTGTTGACTCCGCTGGTTATTCCCAGCCCTAATCCTGCCATTGTCAGAGTTAGAGACACTCCAGCTGTTACAGGAATTAATGCCAACCCAACGATGGAAAGCACACCGCTAACTGCCCCCACTGAGCTTCCTGCCACACTGGAGATCTTTGCTCCTGTATTCATCCTGTCCAGCTGAACAGCACTCTCCTCCAGGTCTTTAAGAAACTGCAGCATTCTGGGCTGTCGCTCACTGAACTCATCAATGAAGCCAGAACATGGTTCATCCTGAAACAAGAACACCATCCGGAAGTTCTGGTTCATCCTGATGAAGATAAAAGAGGAAATTAAGACAGCCCAAACATGATGAAACATTTTTAAGACGTTAGTATGTTTAAAATTCAGTATGACAATACTGGATGGATCTGTTCTTGTTTTTTTCTTCAAGCCCACATTAGATGGCTACAAGATCAATTCAATCCACATAAAACTGAAATGAGCAGAAATGGCAACAATATTTTATAAAATAAATTTCAAATGAGACAGAGGTGTTACCCCCTGCAGGACAAGAGCCATAACCCAAGTATCCCTTCATTTCTGAGTGGACCCTTGAGGTGCCGTATTCATGCTTTGACGTTGTGGTTATATGAGCTATACGCTAACATTAATGCTAACATGCTGATGTTTAGGTTTACCTTGGTCATCATCTTAGTTAAGCATGTTGGCATGCTATGGTTTGCCTATTAGCACTAAACATACAGTAAATCTGAGGTTAAGGGGAATGTTGTTAGTTTTGGATGATGCTTACCTGATTTCATCAAGCTGATTAATGTGAAAAAGCATCCTTTGAAAATCATCTTCAGACAAATCCACATCGAGGTCTACCAAAGTCTCTGTGTTCTCCTTCAGGCAAAACTCACAGAGGGACCTGTGAAAGACAAAATTACACTTACATAATATAATAGATGCTTATTCTGGAAAAAAATCTACCTTTTTCAAAATGAGGAAATGTCGGTTTACCTTTTCTCTAACTTCTCACAGATTGTCTTGGTGGTCTGAACGTATTTGTTCAGCTGATATGACAGCACTTCCACATTCTGCAGTTTGGGAAGGAAGAAGACACTTGCATCTCTTTTAAACTCGAGGAGGAGAGGGCAGATTAGCCGTGCAGCAATGATGACAACCTGAACATGTTCAGGGCTGATCCCTTCTGGCAGATGTAGCACCTGGTTCTCCTCCATGAACACATGAAGTGAGGTGGCCGCCAGTTTCTCCACTGCATCCAGGAAGCAGTGGAGCTTCTCCAGACCTCCCAGAGTGTCTTTCAGCACATCAGCCAGCTCTGTCTCCAGCTCTGCACGCCTGCTGTCTGCAGTCATCTGAGTTACCTTGCTCTTCATATATTCCCACATAGCCTTACCCCTCTTCTCTGATTGGGTAACATGGCCGATGTTTAGGTGGATCTTGTCAGCTCTGTCTTTGATATCCATCATCATGTGCAAATCTGTCTCCCTCCCAAGAGTCCATTTCGGGTTCCTCTCACAGAATCCTCTCACTGTGTCGATGTAGGCAAGGGTATCTGTGGTGTAGCAACACAAGGCCTCCTCAAATTCCTTCCTGTAACACAAAACATCATACAGTTTGTGAGTTTTTAACATAAATTCAAATTAAATCATTGCTGCATAGTTGGTTTCACAGTGCAAGCCCTAATGTATCTCCACCTTAGGTGTGTTATGTGATAATGCAGGAGATGATCTTGGAGCAACCACTCCACAATGACTGCTAAATGAAAATTGAGGAAAGGCTCCTGACTCCTGTGGCTCCTGGGCCAGAGCATCTGTTTTATGTGATTGTTAACATTTCTTGGTGGAAAGTCACAGAGCTCAGTTAAAAGTTGGGACATCCTTATAGTGTTTTTCAAACCCCTAAACCTTAACAAAGTCTCTTAATTTTGAGTATCTGCCAACCAAATCCAGTTTGTGTTTTTTACTTCATATTACAGCTTCACAACATACGGAGGTCACGGTAGCATTTAGTAAAAGCACAATAACATTAGTAAAGCAGTTTAAAACAGCAGAATGGTGTCCCAAAATGACTACAAAGGGATGCAAAATGGCACAAAACGACTGCAAAATAAACTACAAACAAAAAGAGAATGCTGCATTCAAGATGAACTCATTATTGCACAGAATACATTTATAAACTAGAACTGCTATCTCATGGTTGTATGCCTTCATGAATCAGTCAAGTTACAGTTTACATCCATGTCTGCGAAAACATAGATGCTTCACACACATCTTTATCCGACAGCACAGAAGATCTATACAGTCAGAACAGTTTCATGATGGACTCCCAAGATTAGTGTCACCAATTCAGTAACCGACCAATTGTCTCCCCTTCTGTTCCTGAGTTATGACATTGAATAATGGCCAGAAAAGTGTTTTTGCAGAACATTATGATGTCACAGTGAAGCTGATCTTTGATATTTTGGATACAAAACATTATCACTTCATCATTTTATTCTATTACACATTTGAGTGAAATTTTGTCATAATCAGTGTATAAATTCCTGGGTTATGGCCAAAAAACATGTTTTGTGAGGTCACGGTGTCCTTCTCTGATCTTTGACCGCCAAATTCTAAACAGTGTGGAAGTTTGTGCCAAATATAAGGAAATTCCCTCATAGCATTCTTGAGATATTGCATTCATGAAAATGTGACAGATGTACAGATGTTCATACACTTTCACTTGGTTGGTCTATCTGGCATTTGCCAGAATTGCCCGTGGGCCAGTCTGATCTTGTAAAGTTTTGAGCTGCGTCTCCCTCATCTCTGTCCTGTGCACCCATTGCTGGTTACCAATGCCATCAGCCAATGTGAGGGTATTCGCACACCAGAGTCCGATGGCACCTTGACCACCTGGTAAAAGACCGGTGACCAGACATCCTGGATCTTCCAATGACTTAGGTTCTTCCGGGACAAATTTTGTGCCACCTGAAGTAATTCCTGGTGTTGCTGGACCCACTCATCTCAAGAGCTGGTTGTGTCTTTAGCTACATCTGCCCTCAAGAGAAAGTCAATTGTAAGCTGGGGCGGTGCCCTAAACATTAGGACATAAGGGGAACAGCCAGTAGCGCGATGGTCAAAGTGTTGTATGCCCATGCCAACTGAAAGATGTGCTTTGGCCATATTGGCATCTTTTCAGGGGAAAGCAATCAGAGCAGGTCATGGGGCTTCCTGTTCAATCTCTCACACAGGCCATTTCCTTACAGGTGGTATGGTGTTGTCCTGGACTTCTATTTCCCACATAGCTGGCAGAGCTCCTGGATAAAAGAACTCTCAAAATTTCTCCCCTGATCAGAGTGTATTCTTTTGGGTACCCTGAACCGGCCAGGACCTTTGCTACTGTGACAGTGCTATGGTCTTTGGTTGGTACAGTTTTGTGTATTTAGCGAAGACGTCAATCATGACCAACACATTCTCTCTCTGGTCTGTTGCAGGTTCAAGCTGGTGAACCCAATGGCAGATACCTCCAGCAGCTGACTGGCAAAGAGGCTGGAGAGCCTTTGACAGTACATGACGTTGGCAGTTCTGACAATGCTCTTCTATTTCTGCTCCTGTCCCTGGCCAGTAACAGCTTTGTATTGCCAGATCGGTTGTTGCATGTACACATTCAAACTGATTTCATGATACTGCCCTCAAGTACTGTTGGAAACATACACATTAATAAATGATGACACCCCACGTGACTCACCTCTGTAAAGCATATCCTCCTGAGAGCTGTGTCCTCATACAAGGACATTACATTTTGTGTTTACTGGACCTTATACTTCATTCTACTTAAAGCAGCTGTGCAGAACTTTACGTTTTTGTTGATTATAGTGCCCCCTTTGGTCGAAGCGGTATGACACCCACAGCCTGGTGTCGTAAAGTTCCGACTGCAGCCGGCATTTGGCTTCATTCGTAAAATCTCGACTGCAACTGGCAATTACCGCATGCATTTGTTTTGGAGAGCGAGAGGAAAATCCTAAATGTTCTGGTGTAGCTCTGAATTTCTTATAAACTGAGGACAACTGCCTGCTGTATATTTGTGTTCATGGTCACAGTCACAGATAATTTTGTGGCATTTGTTGTAACGTTACTAGACAAAAGCGGTTCACATCAGCTAACGTTACATTTAGCTTGCTTATAACTTCCATGTCGTCATATATTGAAGTAAAACAACGTCTAACAAGTTGCGGTATATTCTCTAAATAAAAACAAAAATTACATACCTGTCGATTAGGAAAAGGGCCAACTCGGGATCACCTTTAAAACCTTTAAAACCTCTCAGCTCTCTCCACTTGGTAAATGCCCGACCGAGGTTTACACGCGTTTGGGCTCAAGCCCTATCACTGTCCCGTTTAGCCTTCTTCTGTTCTTCTGTTCTTTTTCGTTTAGATGGTGCTCCTTTTTTATCCACCTTGACATCGAAAGTATAGATACATCTGGTAAAACTGTTATGTGTTCAGCAATGCCCGTTGCGTACCACTTACTCGAAGAACACTCTCTGTAAACACGGCTCTTCTTCTTCTCTCAATTTATTGGCGGATCGCAAACAACTTCCAGGTGCATACCACCACCTTCGGACACATTGCACACACAAGAGTGTGCAATGTGTCCGAAATTATTCGCTACTACCTACTACATGTCATTTAGTCCGTTTCTTAAATCCTACTCGTAAACATGGCTCCTTCTTCTGTGGTTTAATGGCTGCGGGCCGCTGCGGGCGTGCAGACTCTGGGTGCCGTATTCTGGTTTGCTGACTTCCGCTGTGTCCAACCCGACCAAGGCTACGCTAAATAGCCATATAGAGAAAGGCTTTTTTGTCGCTGTTGGGTTCAAATAAATATGCGGATCTTCAACGGGGGTGATACGAACTAGGGACAGTTTTATAAATGGTAAAAAGTTCCGCACAGCTGCTTTAAGTTTGTGGACACTTTTTTGTGCCATCTAGTGGTAGTAAGACCACAATACACCAATCCATGTAAAAACAAGATGGCAGCCATCTCTGCCAAGACAGTCTGCAGCTGATCCTGACACAAAAGTGGACCAGCTACAAAACCTGATCACATTTTATGGTTGAAACTTGTTTATTTATGATTAATAATGTTTGTAGTTTCATATGGCAACACATTTGACCAATTTTAGCAACAGTAACAAGCTAAGACACTTTAATTAGGAAGTACTCGTTTGAAGACTTTGGGACTTTAATATTGTCTCGTTTCAGGATATAGGGACTTTATTATCATTTACAATGTTTAGTTTATTTATACTTATCAGGTCCTATTGATCCCAAATAGCTAGGAGAAATTAAAAATGCATACCAAACAAAAGTTTGGGTTTGTGAGGATATTCAGTGCTTATCTTTACTTCAGTAAAACCACACTGTAAAAGTATTCTATTACTAGTAAAAGTCCTGCATTGAAAATGTTACCTTAGTATTTATGTGGCCTAAGTATGGTCTAGATGAGGTATATAAAGTGGGCTTTTAAAAAAAACTTGCTCAATGCAGAAAAAAATCAAAATATTCAAAAATAAGTTTAAAAAAATTGAAGGAAAAGCAGAAAATCTTCACATCTTCACCACTGGTCTGGACAAATCAGGATCCATCACTTTTGTCTGTTATTGCATTTACACAAATTGACCAGCAGATGTCGCCAAAGCACACATGGTTTAAAGGCATATCAGAAAACTTAATTTATCAACAATATTCTAGGGGCACAATAATTTGCAGAATAATATATTTTAAACTTATTTTTTTTTTACAGTGATGATTAACACAATGACAGACTTAAAAAAAAAACAATATGTGCCATTGTTTATAGAATATGAAGATTTACTTTTATAGGCTACTAAAAGAACCCTGTACATTGAAGGTTTCGCAACATGTTTAACAGGTAGGCCTAATTAATTGTGCTGTTTAGAATATGTTTATGTGTATTAGTCAGTACACATAGTTATTTCGCGTTATTTGACATCTTGTTACTTCAGGCTTTTCTCTGATTTTCTGTGCAGAAGTCGTTCAAAGATTTAATCTCTTTACCTTGCAGACATGTTTGTCCCCCTCGGTTTACTCCCGTCAGTTCGTTATCAAGGTCTCATCTTATCATGCGCGTGGTCTCATTCTTGTGTGTCGGCTATATCTGCTAAAATCACTGAATCACACCTTGCTGAAGAGTTTTGTTGACAACACTTCGACAGGTGACACTGATTGGTTTCGGATTCCTTCCTCCACATCAGCACAGCAGGATGAGCCACACCTACCTCTGCACTGTACAGCTGACAGTAATATGACCTGTTTATTCAGGAGGCTGAAACTGTCTGTGACAGCCATAATAACACGTTAACTCTAAGCAGCAGCACGCCACACCTTTATTGTTTAAAACTTATTTCCTCATGCTGCCTTCAAATGCTGTCGGTAACATACTTCTCTCTGGTAAGACCCAAAGCAATGACTAATGTCACTTGCCTTTGTAAAGCACCTTCAGTATTAAGCTTTACTTAGGTAATGCCACACTGTAATACTACTCCAATACTAGTAAAGGTCCTGCGTTGAAAACAAGTATTTATGAAGCAAAATTATGATCAAGAAAATGTATTTAAATTGGGCTATTAAAAGTAAACATGCACAAAGCTGGGAAAAGTTTGAGTAGGTCACATACAGTAACCTGTTGAAACTTCCATCAGCATGCAGCTGAATCTGTAGCCTTGGGGAAACACACTAAACTGTGTCCTCATCAGAGACCTAATAGACATGAGGCAAACACCTAGAACCTAGAACAGATGTATGACTCTCATTGGATAACTGGTTGAACAGGATTTCAAATCTATCCAAGGGTGGAAGTTCCCTTGCTCCGTGTCCAAGCGTTACACTCTCTTAGTGGTGGAAGAAGAATCAAATAAGTAAAGTAGTAATATCTCATTGTGAAAATACTCCATTACAAAATACTGCATTCAAAACCTTAAATAAAACAAAATGTACATAATGTATGAAAAGTAAAAGTACTTATTGTGCTGTAAAATGTCCCCTGGCAGTGTTACACTACACCCCTGATTACAGAAAAAGTTAGGATGCTGAGTAAAATATCCTTTTTGACCTATATTCAAGTGCCTATATGACCAGATATTTAATGTTCAAATTAATAGCCACAATTTGATCCCCTGTGGCTCTGCGTGGGAGGCATCACAGCAGTAAAGCTGCATTCCATTTACCTCAGAAGTTGCAGCTGGGAATGACGTCACACCTGAGTTGACCGCGTTCCAGTACAAGTTGGAAAACTAAGATGTTGTTAGCAGGGTCAGCCATTATTAGCAATACCAGTTGATAATGAGGCATTGTGCTGTATTTTGTGCATACAAACACCATGGCCACACCTCCATGGATAGAAATTGGACAAGACTGTGTGTGTACGACTGTTTTCATGAGAGACAAATAAAGCTGTCGTGCTAATAAATGATGAATTAACATAGCTTTTCCTACTGTTGATGCACCGAGCAGCCATACTCGATTTTGAGGTCAGTGCTGGTAAGGCTCTTCTAATGTTTCGAATCAGAAATCCAACTGCAGGGGGTGTTTTCCAACTGGAAACTCAGAAATTGCAACTCTTTCACCTTCACTTCTTACTGCTCCTCCTGGTCCACTGCAACTGGTTTCCACATATCTCTACCAGAACTGCAAATGCAGTATTGTGGATGAGCCTTGTAGGTGATTATTCTCAGCTTTTTCAAGTGTCCTTCTGCTTAAGGGTTTGCATTAAATGGTATTCTCAATCATACCTTTGTTTCTTTTGTAAAACGTAAAGTCTTGACAATGCACATGCTGTTCCATTGTGAAGGATAGTTAGTAGTAAAATGTTTACATCTCAGATACCCAGTCAGGCCTTCTCTATAAAGTTTCTATGTGATTACTATGTGTTCTTCCCACAAGCAACCTTAGACAATCTTTCATTTCATGTTTCATATTTATTTTATATTGTGCTCACACGAGGCATTTTCCTGATAAAGTTAAATCCAAAAAAAAGTAGTATTCCAGCCTGGAAGCACTGGTTGCACTGGACTGGAATTAGCAACATGAAGGTGAGTTTGAAGATGGGGGGGGGCAGTGAGAGCCCAATAGCACATTTCTGCCCCGATGCCCCTGAATAGGATTAGTCCGGCCGTGAGCAGCATACACGGTGTGTGAAGGACTGTGTGTGTGTGCGTGTGTGTCTGTGTGTGTGTGTCTGTCATGTCAAAATGCTCACTCAGCTGCTCTCAGCTCAGTGTAGACACCCTGGGATCAGAGTGGAAATACTGCTGACATAGCGGTGTCCTCACACACGCAAGGCAGCAGAACGACATCAACAGAACACAAAGCAGAACATCAGAACATGCAGCAGAACCGGAGTCACACAGCACTGATTGACCGTTTGACTCAAAGATGATGAGGAGCACAAAATCCTGATGGTTGCCAGCATAAAAACCTAAAAAGCATATATATTATGTATTGTTAAAGCATCTAATCCAACACCCTCAAATGCACTGTGTAATCTAATTCACTTTCCTGGAGGGAAGAAATGTTTTTAACCCTGTGGACCAAAGAGCCCAAGGGTGCATTCTCACCCAGAGACTCCCTTTAATCAGGCTCAATTACTTCGGATGGAAACGTTCAAAGTGTGACCACCTTAAAGAGAGCCTCTGTTTTCTTTCCCTCCCTCTCTTCTTTTACTCCAGAGGAACATTTACTGGAAGCACTCCCTTAGCCGATGCTTGGGGGACGCTCTAACAAGGCCCTGATTAGGGCTGGATTTGCAGCTTGCTGAGTTAATGTCAGATTGGCATAAAGAGTCCACGTGGGACCAGTGTGGGTGCAGGCCTGGGACCTGATTTGCACACCCTCCTCGCCTGTCAGGGATAATTGTTTAATGAAAGCGAAGGGTGTCCCAAATCCTGGCAGAGAAGGCGAATCAGAGAGGTCTTTAGTCAGAGCTCAAGGTCTCTCTTCAGGGACAAGTGTTGGTATCTCATTCTGCTTCAATGAGACTTTGCTGTGGAATTAATGCTGGTTTCACAATGTGGCTGCTGAGGAACGGACTCAGCGTCAGACTAAACAGATCTTTGAATCTATGGTCCCTCTTGTTCAGCACAGAGTGTGAGATTAGTGTGAGCGGAGAAATGTGTGAAGGACAAAAATGCATTCAACTGTAGTGAAAAAGCAACTTAGTAGATTTACTCAAGTAGTTACAAGTAGATTTATTCACATTTGTATGCTACTTTCCACTAAACATTGTACCTCTTACTCCACTTCATTAATATGACAGCTAAAGTTCCTATTAATATGCAGAGTAACAATTTGCATTAACTACTTCTACTTCTAATGTGTTCTTACATAATAAACTACCCAGAATAATGAAAATAGAAGTAGATCAAATAGCTCCACTCCAACATTAAAATGCTGCTTATGTATTGATACTTCATTAGTGGATTATTAAGATCTGTGAACGAATTTTGCCATATTGGAACACTCAAAACTTTTACTTAAGTAAAAGTAGCAATACAGTTTAGAAATACTTTGTAACTAGTAGAAGTCCAGCATTCAAGATCCCTTAGTAAAAGTATACAAGCATCAAAGAAATGTAAAATTACTTTTCAGAATCATATACAGTATATTATATTGGATTATTGGATTACTGGATATTGTGTCTTCTTACATTGTTGGCTGCACCTTTAAATTGTCCATGTCTCCGGATGGTTCTGGTAATCCATGGTGTCTGGTTGTGGAAACAGTCCCCACATCCAGACTCCAACAAAACAGTTCCATGGTTGCTTCTCCTGAACATGGGCAGCGCCACTCTGAATGTTGTATAGAAGTGATTCACAGCAGTATCAGGACAGCACCTCACATTCCTATAGACACACCAGTCCTCATTCACCAAGCACATGCCTCCTCTCCTTGTCTCATCAGAGTCCTCTGCTCTGTCAGATTGGCAGATAGAAAAAGAGTCTCCTGGTTAAGTGGCGCTGTGCGCTGATATTCCTTTGGAAACTGATGCGACATAGAGGTCGCCCAGTTCATTTTCCAAGGCCTGTGCAATGGCTAGCAGGATGCTAGTTCAGGTGGTGCCCATTTTCTTCATCTTTTCTTTGATGTTTACTGATGTTTACATTTGAAAACCTTGACCTGGCTAGCTGGCAGCTAGCTAGCAGAAGTTGGCAGGAGGAGAGTTTACAGACTGGTGAGCTGATTTCCTCATCTTGATGAGTGTCTCCCAGCCTCATGCCCCACAGTCCAAAGCTAACTAGAAAAACAACCACCAACACTTGCAAAATAGACATAAAAGCATACATTGAGCACAAAGTTAGTGGAGCTGGCTGGTGATTGGAAATGTCCGCACCTACATCACCTCTGCCACCAACTACTGCACCTCAGGAGATCTGTCTGCTAAACCCCTGAACTTTGCAGACGACACAACAGTCACTGGCCTCATTCAGGATAGTGACAAATCTGCATCAGTTTGTGGTTTGGATCGGCCACCAAACAGGACAGGAACAATGGACAGTGAGGACTGCAGAAAAAAGCATTGGTGCCAGCCTGACTTCTATCCAGGAGGTATACATCTCCTGAGTCAGGAAACAGGCAGGTCACATCACTGCAGACCTTTCACACTCTGGACACAACCTATTCCAACTTCTACCCTCTGGGTGCTCCAGAGAACACTGTATACCCATAGAACGTACTTACGTACTTACTGACTTCTGGTTTAGTGCTCTGCTAAATTGAATGGGAGTAAAATGATTTAAACGCACAGCTCTTCTAGACTTTTGAGGTATTATTGGACCATGGATTAAAGCCCAATAGTGAAAAGGGTTATTTTGTGTGGGTTGTGATGCTCCAAAAACTGCATCCATTGATTTACAGACGTCTCTTTCACAATGTAAGTCTAGGGAAAAGTCTTTTTGTGCCCAGTGGCATCAAATAACAGACACGGAAGCTGTAATTACATTGTGTGGCAACTGTGAAATTGGCCTCAAAACCTGCCACATATTCCGAGGGATGTTTCAAGCCTCTAGTTTGGCATTTTGGCCGTGGCTATCTTGATTTTTTGGCAGCAGAAGGGGCCATATGTAAAGGAGCGAGGGGCTAGGGGCTCACTCATAGACTGTGCTGATGCATTACAGACCAGAGCATGTGAGCGGAGCTGGTGAAAATTTCCGC